GTGTGTGAGTGTGCTCTAAGATGGGAATTCTATCCACCGGCCGCTCAGTTGGTAAGGCACGCAAGTGGCATTCAGGTCTTGGGTTCAATCCGCATTGGCCTCATGTACTTTCCTGGGCAAGATTGGTGCCCGCCACCTAGAGATAGGCCTTTGGTCCCCTCGAGTGGCATTCATCAGACTGCTGACGTTGTTCATAGGGGGAGGGGACTGGAGGGAAGGCACAGCGACCGGCCCATCGTAGAAGCTCAGTCCTGATGCTACCGGTTGACCCCTGGCCGGTATCGCCCACCTGCTGTAGCAAGTACCGCACCTGCTGGTGGGTGCAGCTCCCCCATGTTCCGTCGTTGGAGGCTTGAGCACGGATGTGGCTGCTTCGGGGTTCCCCGTAGTACTAAAATGACAATAAAAATGGTGTGAAAGACTGAAAGGCCATCCTGTCCAGATTCGGAAGGTAATTGAATTGGTTGGGCTTTAATTGAGATTTTTAAAATTTTTATTTAATATTTTTCGTGGAAAGATTACAACAAAATCTGCGAATACTTCAATTTTCAGATTTTTTCACACATTCCTCTGAGCACAAAAACTCACTAGAAATTGAGTACTTTTTTTGTTGGCCCACACATGGCTGCATGGCAAAGATGGAAAATGCACCAAATTGGCGCGACAATTATTTTGCAGCCTTAATGACTTTTAAAAAAAATTCCTAGGCTACCTGCTGGGCCGCCCGGGTCACCCTATTTTTCTGGACGGCCCAGCCGTGCCAAGCCCAGGGAAGGCCCTAGCAAAAAAAAAAGAAAAAAGAAAAAAATCCGGGAAAAAACTATGTTAATAATGTTATGCAAAAAAACAAACTGCACAACTTTTGCCTCAGGGTCACATCGAAATTCTTTACCAAACTTAAAAATAAATAAATAACAATAATATATATTTTTATTATTATTATTATTTTTGGCTCAACCGGGCAACTGGCCCCGGGCCACTCTGGTAGCCTAGAATTTTTTGGATAATTTTCCTAGAAAGACCACGACCTAATCTACAGTAGAGTATTCTGCTAATCCGTATAAGCACGAAAAATCCCTGAAGTTGCCTCTCGCAAATTGAGCGACTGGACCCACATGTACCCCTTTTATGGATCACATTGTAGCACAGACCGGTCCTCCGATTTTGCTACCGTGCCACTTCTCTGCGCAATAGTTGTAGATCGCCCACACAAATGTAATATATCCTCTGACAAATTACCCCCCCCCCCGACGCCCCTTTATGCACCGGTCGCCCACCACCCAATAATGTGGCACCTTGACACGAACGCCAAAGCCTATTAACTACCACGGGGACGGGGGGAATGCAACCCTAAGGGCCTTCATTTTTTTTTTTCACAGAGAGAGAGAGAGAGAGAGAGAGAGAGAGAGAGAGAGAGAGAGAGAGCATCATGACGTTCCGCTTATTTGGGGATCAGTGACCCACGCTACGAATGACCTGGCACCTGCACTTCACTCAAGGACCCATTGCGAAACCCGCCTCCTCCAGATGTTCAACAAGTAACTGTTTATCTCTGTTGGCTCTCTCTGACTACTCCAGCTCCGCCACCCCTCCCCCTGCTCCTGCTCCGTTGTTGCCCTCGTAGATATTGTTAACCTCCCTCCTCCCTCATCACCCATTCCACAACCCCTACCCTTTCCCCTCCCTCTCATCCTCCCTCCCCCCCTGCTGATTTACTCTATCCACTCGAGTGACCTTTCCCACCCTTACGTGTTGGGTCAAGTTCCGCAAGTGCGAAACTGCGTCAATTTGCGACAAAGGCGGCGGCGGCGAAGAAGAAGGGTTGCTACCCCACTTGCTGCACATGATCACGTCCTCTCGACACAACTCCTTTTTCTGCCCAAATTGTTTTTTTTTTTAA